TTTATGCAAGACTTTAAAGAGGAATGTTAGATTAATGCTGAGTCGTCTCATCCAGAGTGGGTCGATACCTACAGTTATACACCTTGCTGTGTGGTCCTTTTCGCGGTCAAATCCTAGTAGTTTAGAAGTGAAGTATCATTGGACATCTTCCATTTTAAGCTTGTCACTTACACGAGTGCTGCTGAGAATAAATGGACAATATTCTAGCAGTGGTCTGACATGTATTGTATAATGTAAGTCTCGCTTCGTAGTTGTGGAAATTCCTCAGTATGCATCCTAAGAGCATCCCCGATTTACATGTCTGTGTAGCCACTTGCTCAGAAAATGTCTGGTCACTAGAGTACCTGAGTCCTACCGGCGCGTGCTATCCCTAAATTTCGTATTGTGTCCCTTCCTCTAATTTCGCATCTTCCATCCTTTCTCGCAAAGCTAAAACATCCTTATCTGTTTGACGCTAAATCTACCATTCCACCGTATCATATTATTATTCCGATGAACATCTCTTTATATACTACTGATAAATCTCATCAACGACACACGCCACAGTGTTATACCTGTTCGCTCGTGCACGATCCCCTGCTAGTTAAACAGTCATACTCGCACTACGATTTTGATCCCGAAATATATTTCGTATCTTGGACGATCAATTTGCTGTTTCGATTTGCATTTGACCTATGCAGAACAAATGTTATGGGAGTTACATGATAAGAAATTGCGCTAGTATAAGTTGTATTTTGCGTAAAACTTGTCTCCCTGATGTCCTGAATTGGTGAGCCCTTAAACAAATATCACCTGAACTTCATCTCAATGCTTTGAGTTGTTAATTATTTCATTAGGTGCCATAATTGGCCCCGCTTTCACAGCAGATATGAATTCAACATTCAAGCAAACGATGCTCTTGCCCAATGAAAGCTCTTCTCATTCTTTGACTAATGCGAAAGATAGGCGATCCTATCAAGAGCAGATGATGCAACGACTAGAGGAAGCAGTGACAAGTGCACTAAATCTGATTTTCAAATGACGGAGTATTCTGGTGGTAATTTGATCATTCACAGTTGTAGTATGTTCATATGAACTGTGGTCAAGATTTGACGGAACAGTTCCAAAATAATTGGGCGCAGAGTGAGAAGTAGACACGATAATCATATGTTATTATCCCCGTGTGTTTCAAATGGGAAGCAGGCTTCAACAACCCACTGCCATTTTATCCTGTCCCCTGTGGTGCCCTTCAGCTGGCTTCACTATTTCCCGTAGCCTCTCATCTCCACCTCACACGATCTCCATGTCACCTTTGGACGTCCAACACGCTGTTTCTCATTCAGGCTCGATTTGATCACCTGACGCGCAATTTCACTCAATGGTCTACTCAGTGTGACCCCGATCCACCTCCGTTGTCTTCGGCATATTTGTTGGGCAGCAGATTCTTGATTGGTTCTTTCTCGAGGCTTCCTGTCTCTAATTCTTTCTGGTAATCTGATCTTCAGTGTAGGGCGAAGGCAGCTACTGATAAAAGTCTGAAGCCCGTTCGAAGTGCTTTCCGTGACACTCTAAGTTTCTGGTCCATATGGAAGAAGTGGCTTAACATTGGAGTTGAAAATACGAATTTTGCTCTTCATGCTGATTTCAGAGTGATGAAGCTCTGTCTTACATTTCCGATTCTGATTTTGACATCCTCACCCTACGGTTGAAACGATGCCGCCTAGATGAGTGAAAGAAGTGACTTGTTCCAATTTTCTCCCGTGGATAGTGATTGATTTTGGGCACTCCGTGGTGTTGAAGTAATTTCCAAATTACTTCGTGGTCAATGCTGAAGGCCTTCTAAAAGTCGAGGAAACTGAGGTAAAGACTCGACTATTATTCTATGTCTTGCTCGCTGATGATTTGCAGAGCTACAATTTCATCTGCACGTTATTTGCTTTTTCTGAATCCAGCCTGTTCCGGGCGGAGTTCTGCATCCATTGCGTCTTTTAGTCTCTCCAGGATGACACCAATCAGTATTTTGTTTTACGTGGGCAGGAGCATGATTCCGTGCCACTTCTTGCAGAGGCCTAAGTCACCCTTCTCTGGGAGCTCAACAAGGTGGCCTCTCTCCCAATCGGTAGGTGAATTCCCTTCCTCACAAACGTTATACGATGATGATGTGAGCATATATGCTGCGGTCTCTACATTCGTTTTCAGTAATTCAGGAGGGCCCTCGTCCGGTCCTGCTGACTTCTCGAACTTCAGTGGCTCCATGGCACTAAAAACTTCTGCTATTGTCTGACGATTGGTGTCTGTGGCTGTCTGTGGTGTTTCTGGACGAATTACAGGCGGCGGTCGATCCAAGAGCCCTTTAAAGTGATCAGCCCATCGTTTTCTCTGTTCCTCCTCTTTAGTATTTAGGTTCCCCTGACCATCTACTGGTTTCATCTTTGTTGATTTCTTCCCGGATAGAGACCTGGTTGTCTGATATAATGTTCTGAGGTCTCTTTTACATGTGGCCTGTTCTGCTTCAGTTGACATTCTGTCGTAGGATTGTCTTCTATCTTTCCTAGCACTCTCCTCCACTTCTTTATTCAGTGCGATATACACCCAACTCAGCTTCTCCCTCTGTTGCCTATCTTTGCATTGGTTCACTTTCAGTTTCATCCTCCTCCTCTTTTCAATTAGCTTTCACATGTCCGTTGAGAGCCATTCCTAGTCTTGCCTCTTCTTTCCTCCTAAAACAGCTGCACACGTTTCCTTAAACATCAACTTCAGAGAGTTCCAGAGTTCCTCCAAGCAGATATGCTCGGTAATGCTGCATAGCACCTCCGACTTTGCTCCGATGGCTGCAGTGAGGGTATCTTTGGTAGTTCCGCTGTCTTTCTCCGGGTTTAGGACCGGCTAGAGAACTGGCAGATTAATAAACTTGGTCTGGTTTTAATTTGTGCGCCGACCACGGATCGCACCTTGGACAATGTGCATAGTCATCGAGCATTTCGTATATATATAATATTATTTTGGACTAATTTGGCCTTTTGTACGGTCGGTTCCACCACAAATTTCTCGGTGAGTTAGACGTGTTCTGAACAACCGGGCGACTGACTGTATTTTTTAATTATAATCTGGGAAATCAAAATGGCTGGTGTTGTTCGGGACCTGTTGAACGCCATCACGACTGCCGGTCTCTCTTAGGCAACCAAGGACAATACACATTTGGGGCCGGACAGTTAACCGTTGCTAGTATATTACTTACATTACAAGGGGGCCCATGGTGTTGGAACACGGAGCAGAGAATTCCTGAGCAATCTTATTATATTCGCTGGATCTGGATTCTTATTTTAATTGTCTGTGTATATCGATTTTGCCCACTGGATTTCTTCATGTTTTTATCCTGTATATCCTTGCATTTATCGTTCATATATGAGTTCCATCTGGATTTTGGAGGATGAATCTAAATTCTTTCTTGTTTCGTCCTTAGTTATAGACAATACTAGTGAATCTCTCCGTATTGCAGTACACATGCTGCATTAGTGCTGACGATAGAAACTTTGATTGCCGAGGAATATGAATCAAATAGCTCAGTCGCCTATTTGTAAAAGTGGATATAAATAGTGTCGTAGGTGTTATAGACATGTAGCTTTACCAGTGTGAATATTAAATTCGATGAAATGCCTCTTTGATGTTCATACCATGGGAGTCCTGGACGCAAAAGACAACCCGCACGAGGCTCAGTGTAGATTCGGTAATGATTAGACCTGCTCTGAGAGCAACTGAACAGCATGTTGTAACCCGCTTATGCCAGCCCACATCTTGCTTCTAGATCTCAAATTCTAGGATGTGGACATTGAAATGGAGCCTACCTCGAAGACAGCGATTTTCGCGCTTACAGTTTGTGGAAAATGGCATCCACCAGTGCACGGAACAACCATCGGCCCATTTTGCAGTCTGTTTTTAAAAACGATCTCCCTAACAACTGAAGTTACCTAACACTTCTGTACAGTAGTGATGTGAAGCAGTGGAAGGGCAAAATAGTTGAGGAAACATTTATCAAGCCACAAGAAGACCAGACCGACACAGATGACATGGCCATCGTGAACGCATTATCCTAAACATTACTGAATACTGTGTAGTGTTCATTCATACACCTGACTTCTTCACTACAGAAACAGTGCTGTCTCACTCTACTGCTGACTGAACAACTGCACACAAGCACTAACTATGCAGGAATCAAAGTCAGAGCGACTAAGCTCTCTACTCCGTGTGCTGTCAGCCACGTACACGTTAACCTAGACTTTTTTTGCTCGGCCACATATAGCTGAACAAACCGTCACCACATGAGAGTGCTAAAAACAAACACAAACTCTCCAGAAAGCGTACAAAGGTGAGTAACCTTTACTGGTTTGACGTGCAGAAAATCTGGCAACCAACTCTGAAGGTGGACTTGCATAGTCTGAATTTTCTCAGAATTAGTAGAAACCTTATTACACCATTCAAAATAGCACACAGCCGGAGACCTATTACTAGAAAGAAAAAAGAAAGAACACTGTGTGCAGTGACATAGAATGAATGTATGATGTGGCGTCCCTCAGGATATCACGAACAAAACTGTTAGCAACAGAGCAGTAACGAAGTCATGGCCGATTTTCCGTTGCATCCCAGATTTCACTCATGAAATTCACTAGCACATGCAGCCACAGTAACATCAGTTGATATCTTCAAGAGATAGCTCGACTGTAACACAAAAACAAATGGATTTTCGCGCGTACACTGGTTAAGTAGACTAGTTCTAGGGGTCTGTACTGGCAATACTAATATTTCCCCTGACTTTACGTACTTCGTAATTTCTATTCCCACATGCCTTGTTGTTATCATTCGTCATGCTTATTTTATAACCATTCCTCTTGACTTATGTCCCATTTGTTTAATCTACTCATCCTCTCGACTCCTTTTGTTAGTGGATTAGTACCACTTTCTCTATGTTCTTTGCTAAAATAAGCGGGAAATCCTCAGGCAAAACATGATTTGCAGGTCTCAGCAGCACAAATGACGTGGTACGAACCCTACATTCTCTTCAAAATAAACCAATGTATCTCCTCTTGCGGAATCCAATAGCAGTCGACGAGATATGAATTGTTCCGACACAATAAGGAGCCAGCCCCAAGAAATCCTAAATTTTATACAGGTACTTGAGAAAATATTGGGTATTGGTTTTTGTGGCATAAATGACCTCATAGTTAGATTTTTCGAATTTTTGCGTCACTTATTGTCTGACTTCGCTGTGTGGAGTTTCCCACTCATTGGAATGTCTTATGTATGTTTTGTTCTTGTTAAATGCAGTTATTTCAAATTGTAGTCTCCACATCATGGTGGAGCTAATAAGAGAAGTGCGTATCTGGGGAAGGATGGTCTACCAAGCTTGGATTCTTTGAAAATTTCAAACAAAGACACAAATATTGATAAGGAATATAAAACAGACCCAGGGAATCTGATGAACGGTGCAGTTGCAAAGTTGGCAAACGGAGTATCCCCCGTAGAAGGGTACGTCGGATATTCCAACCTACCTAATCAGGTACGTTAAACAAGATTTATGCATATTTCCTCCTCAGATATACCGGAAGGCTGTGCGTAAGGGATTCGAATTCAATATCTTGGTTGTTGGGGAGTCAGGTGTTGGAAAGTCTACCTTCGTGAACTCACTGTTTCTCAGTGAAGTTTACAATGCTGAACATCCTGGTCCTTCTAAACGTCTAAAGAAAACTACATGTGTACAGTCGCACACAGTTATACTAAAGGTAATTACAAAACTATTAGATAATGATCCTTAAGGAAAACGGCGTATACCTGAAACTAAACTTAATAGACACACCCGGTTTTGGCGACTGCATAGATAACACCAATTGTTGGCAACCGGTTTTAGATTATATTGTTTCGCGCTTCGATGATTATATTTCTGGGGAAAGTCGAGTAAATCGTCCTTGCCAGAGCATCCCAGATCAACGTGTTCATGCATGCATTTACTTTATTGCTCCGACAGGTAAGTAAAATGTTTTCTTTCGATAACATGTTTATTATCGTTTGGATATGTTTTATTAAAATAGATTGCGGATATTTTATTCAACTTTTCTGTCATATTTATATGCTAGTTATTTTGAAAAAGATCAATGTTTCTATGCCCAATTGGCATTCTAAAGTTTTGAGAGTTATGCGTAGATGATAAGTGCATTCACATTTTCAAACTTCTGAAAAATATTATTATTAGTTGTAATTTACCTTAAAGGTTATTTTCCCGCTATTATTTACATGGTATTACTGAGCGCTACAGTTCTTTTTCACTCTAATACTAAGTACTTATTTCTGTCTGTTGGTACAGGCTTTGTCGCCTTTTATATTGCATTGCATTCATTTATGAAAGTCTGATTCTTAAAACATTTACCACACAGATTGGCTATTTCTCTTGCTTGTTTCTTATGATAGAAAAGATATAATTTATTCTGGTTTTAGTAGTTTTCAGTATTGTTTTGAAGTTTCACCTATCTCCTCATCCAAATTTGCGGTTCAGTGAAATGTTTGAAGTGCAGAGCATTTTTTAACTATACAGAGCTTTCTGCATTATACAGAGGGTCGTATTTTGGTTATTTTAATTGTAGGAAAACAATTCTTATTTAAAGAGTTAATTGTAGTAGACGTTTTGATCCACTACATTTCATTCTTGTAAGCATAATATAAAAGTCTATCCCTAAATTTTTAAAAATCGTTCTTTTCCTCAGTCCCATGTATACCGGATATTAGATGGCTATATACAGTCAGCAATCGTTTTAGTGTCAATGAGGAAGTGAACAATGTTTTCGTTTTGAAAGATGTTTTGACTTATGTGAGTGTTAGCGAACTAAAATAGGTTTTCGACATCAATTTTGTAAACTTCCAAGTTCGGTAGTCCTTAATTGTTCCCAAAATGTGTCTACTTTGGTATTTGCATGTACGCAGTGCTTTATTCGAACCTCATTATCACCTAAAATTGTTTCTTTGTGTTGTATGCCACTCATTTTACTAATTAGTAGAATCTGCTTATGTTTGATTATCATTTCACTTTTGTTGTTCACTTAACATTTTTAAAATTTTGACTTCTAAATTTCAAATTTTTTTACTTAGGACATTCACTAAAACCACTGGATTTAGAATTCCTTTCGCGCATACAAGATAAAGTTAATGTGATTCCAGTAATTGCTAAAGCCGATACACTGACTCCAGAAGAATGTCGTGAATTCAAAAAGACAATATTAAATGATCTAGCTTCTCGGAAAATACGCGTTTTTGAGTTCCTTGATCCACCAGAATGTGCAGGTAACTATGCTGTTGTTTATTTCATTTTGGTGATTACTGCTTGTAAATATTTCCCTAAGTTCGCATTGAATTTGTGTTTTTTGCGTCATTTTTCGAGTTCAGTTGTTAATATAGTTACGTTATTTTATTGCTTAGCGTAATATTTCTGACAGTATCAGTAGGAAAATCTAGAGTATCGGCCAAGATTTTATTATTTTGTAAAAGTCTAAAAATGTAGTTGCATCATGTTACCGTCATTTTTTTGTGCGTGCCAAAATGTAGTTCTCTAGACGAAAGTCGTCTGAAATATTTTGTACTGGATGCAAATACAAAGGGATGCTTTAGGACTAAATTGAACCTATTTCCAACAGAAGTGAAGTGCTGCTTGTAAATTTTTTTGGTGGCTACAATAATCCCCGTCATTCAGTGGTTGAAGTGATATTCTTTGAAATACTAAACTTGCAACGTAAAATGCCTAAATACCAACGTTTAAAATAATCAATGATTGTATTTGAAGGTTGTTAACATAAATTGATCACTTTATTACATCTACTTAAATTTAACTTTTCACCCACTCATTTACTACAAAGTATGGTATACTGTCTGCTGACTCGAGTTTGCACATCGTTTACCGGTACATAAAAGAAATGTGAACAACCAGAAAAATTAATAGGTGTAAGTAGCGATTTAGAGTGAAAATGGAAGGAAACCGAAGAAAAATTAGAACACTAGGTGTAGAATATCTTGGTTTCCGGAATTCAAAAGAAGATAAGGCATCGATACTTCTATGCTATTGCTATCGACCTTGGGTCATATAACATAAATTCCCCAAGTGGCATTTCTTTCTTTCTACAACCGAATCGAGAAAGATTCATTTATATTCATTAGGTAGCTCTGAGTGGAAGGGTAAGTCGACAAACTTTGCAAAGCCGTACAAAAAATCTACACAAAAAGCAGCGTGTCCTAACAAATCACATCATTGCCATCAACATCTAACAGACGAACTGCTTTTCCTATGAAATAGTAACTTTTTATCGTAATAGCGCAGCCGAGCTCTACTAGCATAAATAGTTGTTTTTGGGGGTTACAGAATGCCACAATGGTTCGCCATATAATGGCACTCATAGATGCTCCTATTGTTATGTTTTAGAATGTGATACAGATCTGAGGGCAAAAGTGTTTTGTTCCCTTCAAATCAGAAGCATTCCAGCTATGCTACTTTTGGATTGAAGTTAGAAAAGACAGTAATTATGGATGATGAAAAAAAGTGCATTTCGCCTTACTTAACGTTTTTTTGCTGTGACTGTGAAGATTATTTATTGAACGGATGCTACTTTACAAAGTCTACCTCAACAAAGAAGTATCTTGCGTTAAGTGTAGGTAAAAAACCCTTTGGGATGTACAAAAATGCAAACTAACCCAATTTTTACTACTATGCTTAACTTTCATAATTTAGATAACCACCTCTTTCTTAACTCACAAATACGTTCCAACTGTCAATCACTACCTCTTATCTTGCATTGTATTTCCGGTCCTATTCTCTGTAATACTGTTACAAAGGGTAGGAGCAGCAAGTGATACGCTTTTTTGCAAGGTCCAAAATTCGTGTGTTGGTCTATTTTATCCCATTGTTAATATTATCATTTGTCTGTTCGTAACAAGGTTTCTCTCTTTGTACAGATCGAAGTAATGATGAAGAATTACTGAAACTGCGGCGCCTTCGTGATAGAGTCCCTTTTGCTATTGTTGGAGCTAATACACTAATTACCAATGATTCTGGAGCTCGGGTCCGAGCGCGTTCTTACCCTTGGGGTGTTGTAGAGGTAGAAAATATGGATCACAGTGATTTCGCTGCTTTGCGTTATCTTTTACTAAGCGTATATATGCAGGTGAGTATTTTTATGAATTGTGTGTAATGTTTTTAAAAACCGTGGACTAAAACTTTGTTTTGATCACATTTAGTTATCCTTCAAGTTTCATTTGCAGTTTTGTCGAGATTATGGTTTTAGTTTTCTCATAACATTCTATTCTTAAGTCAGCATTTTTGGATAAAGCTATTGATACTGCAAGCAATCGTTACTAGTTATGTGTTTTTTTATTGTCACATCTCAAGATTAGTGCTAGTATGGTGTTTAATCAACATTTTTTTCAGTCTATTTTTTCTATTAATGTGGAGGTTATAGTCTACTGGCTTTGGCTATCATCAGGTTTTAAGCAATAGATTATTCAAGTATTGGTTTGTAGGGATGTGATTGATTGGTTACAGGATTTCATCATGAGCTGACATTGGTTACAGAACCATTGGAAAACCTACAAGGAGCACTGGACAGCTGTTTCGTCCTAGTTTGGGACTCTTCAGCAGTACGCACCCACCGGGGTTCTCTAACCAATGTCAGCTCATGATGAAATCCTGTAACCAATCAACCAAATCCCTAAAAACCAATACTTGAATATCAATGAGATGCTCACTGGCGACTGACCCTATTCAGGTAGGTTACCTGGGGTTCCAGTGGGAAGTCGTGACCAGTAGGGTACAGCAGGTCGGGTGTGAGGACAAATGATCACCGAAGACATTGGCTAGCGGTCGCGCTATATCGTGAATTGGCAGAAGTTAGAATTCATGGGCCATTGGATCGGGTCCCAGTGGATTAATGGTCTGCGAGCTCGCTAGCCTTGCAACCAGAAGGTCCCGGGTTCGAACCCTGGAGGTGAGTGCATACTGATGAAGAGTCCCAAACTAGAACAGAGGAAGCAGCTGTCCAGTACTCCCAGGTTTTCCAATGGTTCTCTAACCAATGTCAGCTCATGATGAAATCCTGTAACCAATAGATTATTCATTTCATTCGTAGTTAGACTGTGGTATTCATTGTTGCAACTATAAACTTAGTAAGGCATTTCGTATCTCTTGTGTATTATTAACGTGAGACGCAAATATTAATGTTGTTTTGGATACCACTTGGTAAAATTTCTGAAGTATTTAAGAATTTATGTTATTATTCCTCTTGAGGTCTGGGAAAGTATTCAGTTTGTTCTATCCTAAATATCAGAAATCGATGCTTAAACAGTTTTAATTATATTCATCGAAAGTAGTTGCAGTAGCTTGAGTATTCACTCTTTATTTTTTTTAAATTCCCGAGTATCATGAGTTTTTTTCTGTACTTGTCATATATGAATAACACTCAGTTAATGGGCGAAGACTCTCCACTTAGTGATCAGTTCACGTTCGTCTGTAGCTATTCACCGTCCTCATATTCTTACATTTGATAGGTTTTCTACCTATTTTTGATAAACGGAGTCTTATTGTTTACAGGTTAGTAAAACATGCTAATCTGAGCTGGTCTTGTTGTTTTTAGACTTTGTTGCTATTTTGAAGCTGTATTGTTGTAATAAACTTCGTAATATGTCTACCTTAAGATTAAAGTGTTTTTCCCCCTGAAGTCGTCTCAGGAGCACATACCTTTCAGTGAAGCAACTTGATAGTCACTCAAAATTTCAATATTTTCATTGGTATTTATGGAAGGTTATTCTCTTTTTTATTGTAAGTTTGTTGGTTTGAATATCGGCCATATTCTTACCTTGACAGACTGATTTAGTGTAATGCGAGTGACGATTAAAATTTTGAGGAAAACTTTTGCCGTAGTTGGGTTCAAACCAGCAGTCTTCATCTTTGACTCTGTTGGTTGCTTTTGAAACTGAATTTTAAGCATTTGAACAGTTCTTCCTCTAGTAGTTGACTTATTTGTCTTGATCAGCTGTAACGCCTTCTTGTCAGTTTCAGTCGACAAATGTTCCCTGGCTGGCTGTAGTTGTATTATATTTCCTCGTAGAAATGATTTCTACACGTTTAACATGTTAATGTGGATTTTCGTTTTTAGGAATTACGTGATGTGACGCATAATATTCACTATGAAAACTATCGAAACGCCAAACTTTCAGGTATTGCAATGGAAAGTCACTTCCAAACACGTGATGGCAAAGATCCAATGGCTCTTATGGAAGCTGAGAAAAAAGAGCATGAAGCTAAGATGCGTAAAATGGAAGCTGAGATGGAGGCTGTTTTTGATCAGAAGGTAAGTATGAGGAGTAAATTGATACTTTGAATTCAAAATCATTTCAAACTATGAATGTGTTGTAACTTTTAGACGATAGGATTAAGCGTTTATATACTTTATATTATTTCTTTATGTTCCGATTGGGACATAGGGCTTCAAGCTTTGGGGTTTCAGTAGCGGTAGTGTTATTTTTTTCACGTGGTGGAGCTGTTAGTCTCACACCCAATATTCCCTCTTTGCCAGGTTTACCGACGGCTAAGCAAGGCTGAGGGTTGAACCCCGAACCACAAGTGTGGTTCGCGAGCATTCTACGGCTGAATCACCTATGCACCAGGACTACATGTAGTTATAACCGTCTTGTTAATCAAACCTTGTGACTTCAAACTGTAATAAAATGCTTATTCTTATCACTCCATAGATTGGTATGCTAATGGTTTTACAAACATGTATATAACACAAAATAATTGAGCAATCGGTCGGTCGGTTTTCGACATAGAACTTTGCACATATGTGCGGCAGTTCAAGTCGCTACACTCCATGTAGCACACAAAGCAAGAGAAGAAAGTAGAAGAAATGCATAATATAGACAGTAAACAGAGGTGTGAGACAAAGGAATAGTAATAACGGAGAACAAAACAGTTTAATGTGAAATCATAAGTCACAAGGAGTCGATGCATCTGGGCCAGCCATTGAGAACGATTTTGAGCCATGTCACCAATTGTTTCCAACCATTGGTTTTTACCGTCCCGAGGACCCCAACCAGGAAGTCTACATCTTCCTACGTGGCTTAGACTAACTGTTGTGGATTTCATTGACTGGTGCCATGTTTTCGTTTGACCGCCGCTAGCTCTTTTCCAGCCTGACCCTATATCAGCTCACATTGCCCGTCAGTCGAGGAAGGCGATGACTATGCATACGTAAGACATGTCCTAACCAGCTCAGTCGAAGTAATTTCACAGTCTCGTCGACTGATTTCCCCTCCTTACCTAACACTCGACGCCTAACCTCAATATTGCTCACCTTATTATACCACTTCACGCGGGAGATAGAACGCAGACACCAATGATCGAACACAGCTAATCTTTTGAGCAAAGAATATCCTTTTCGATAATTTCCTCTTCTGACTCTACAATTATATATATATGTTTATATACACAGAATATTCTAGAACATCCTGGATAAATTTAACTAGGCTCATCCTGCAATAAATTTTACTATTGAAAAAGAAAAAGATTATTACTTCATTTCTAAACGTCCTTATGACCAGAAAAGAGCATGGCACAATAAGAAGAAGTGTATATAGAAAACCTACATCAACGGGTCAGTATACTCATTTTTTTTAGTTTCGTGCCCCTAAAATACAAACGCAATCTGATAAAGTGCTTGGTTCACAGAGCAAAAGCAATCTGCTCAGATGAATGTCTTGATGAGGAACCTAATAATATTAAACGGTTGCTGAGTGAAAATGGTTATCCAGGAAAGTTTATTGATAAGAATATGTATCTGAAATCAAAGTAGCCCAAGGTACCAACAGTTCCTAAAAGGTCTTATTTTTAAGAATTCAGATCCCCAGAGACAACATCTGCGAGATACTAACACAACGCCTTAGAAATGCGGCAAAAGGAGCATTCCTTGCTGCTGAAATACGTTGTGTCTTTAAAACCACTCCTCTTTTGCGTTTTGGAGTAAAAGATAAACTGCCTAATTTCGCCTTTTCCATGTGTATTTACCAATTTAACTGCTCCTGTGGAGTCAGCCACATAGGCCGTACAATTAGGCGTGTTTGTCGTCGGATTTCCGAACATCACCCTGCGTGGTTAAGTAAAGGGCAAAGTAAATCTATTCGTAGCGCTATTCTGTCTCATCCTGTGGATACAGAACACAAGATTGATGCTAACCAGGCTTTCGGAGTCATTTGCCTCACAGCAAGTAATCTTAACTTCACCTTAAGAATTCGTTTACTACATATTGCTGAAGTTGTTGGGATCCACATTAAGAAACCTGACTTATGGATCCAAAAGAAGTTGGTTTAGGCACTGTCCTTACCTTGGCCATCTAGGTGCTAATGATTCTTAATTTTTGTAGAAATCTCCTTAATTTTATTTGATATTCTATTTGCCATTATATTTTTGTTTTTACAAGTTATGCATCTTTAGTGAACTGTAATCCCACTGATCTTAATAACAAATTGACATCATTTAAAAAACACCAATATTGTTATTGACTACTATTCTAGAATATTCTACGTACCTAAACACATATATGTATATAATTGTAGAGCCGAAAGAGGAAATTATCGAAAAGGATATTCTTTGCTCAATTATTTTGTTTTTTCTAGATGTCTGAATGAATATATTCGCTATATTGAAACATGTATATGTCTGTATGGTTTCAAATCAGTTTTTATTATTATTATTATTAAAATCGACAACAGTCGACATTTCAGTCACTGAGACAATAGTTTGACATTATAAAGTATCTAAAGCATAAGATGAGATCTATATTTTTGATAAAATGTATTATATTTTTTACAGGATATTGTTACTTTTGATTGTTAAGTTACTTGTAAACTTGAGGTCATTTAGTCACATTGTGCATTCCACTAAAGACGTTCACACTGTAACCAACTTCGATGAATACTAATTTTTAAAAAAACCTTTGGAATCTTTGTTCCGAATGTAATTCTTTACAACTAGACATTATTTTTATATCAGCAATGTATTTTGTTAAAATATGCCATTGTATCGACTTGTTTAGTGCGTCGGTAGCACAGCGGCAGAATGCTTGCCAACCACCCACATGTGGTCCGGGTTTCGATTCCCGGCCACTGGACGCACTCCTTTACCTAGCTAAGTAAGTGATAAGACCGGTAGAGGAGGGAAGGTTAGGCATGCGGCTAGCAACCCCATCCAGTAAAAATGAACACCACTGTCACACAAACTTCAAGCCTCTAGCTTGAAGCCCTATGTTCCACTGGGGACGTGAAGGAATAAAAAGAAATCGACTTGTTTAAATTAAAGCCTGGAAAAAACGAGTATGATTTCATAAATTCAACTTAGTTGAAGTTTCTGTATTTTAGTAACAACAGTCTAAGATAACGAGAGTATAGAAGAATGGTATGTTGTTTTTTTCATACAGTGTTTCTATATATATATATATATATATATATATATATATATACATATATATATATATATACATATATATATATATACATATATATATATATATATATATATACGATAGATGGATAGACAGACCAGACCAGACCAGACATCGTGGAATTTAGCACATGGAAAATAAACAAGAGGAGAATATTAGAATCAATAAGAAATGTGTCAGAAAGGGGAAAACAAGAGGATGAATAATGTTAATAAGACTTTTTATATTTTTGAAGACGATAAAGAATAGCTTTATTTGTCCCCTTGTAATTAATTTTAGTGCTATCGTTTCGTAATATTTGGAGGTTAGATGTGCAAGGATTTGATTAGTTCTGGAGAGTTAGACGTCGCTTATGATTGGGAGTCAGGTAAAGAATAATTAAAAAATAAAACCATATTGGAAGACCATCTCATCATAGTAATGCGAATTCACAACTCTACTAGGGGTTTAAGCCTTAGAACCTGTCAGGTTACGGAAAAAGTGCATTACTAACTAGTTGTCCAGTCAAAATTCTAAATCACATGATTTCTAACTTTGCCACTTTTGTGATACAGCTTTAAGAGACATTCTTTATAATAATAATACACAACGGCTTATCACGGTAAACTACAGTTTTCTTAATTCATGATAATTGTTTATCTTCAAGCATTGGTTTTGTAGGGATTTTATTTGATTGCATGGAGGATTTCATCATGAACTGACATCAGTTAGAGAACCACTGGAAAACCTGGGAGTACTGGACAGCTGTTTCGTCCTAGTATGGGACTCCTCATCAGTACGCACCCACCGGAACTTAAACCCAGGACCTTCTGGTTACAGCAGGTTGAAGATGAGGCAGTAACTCATCGAAGAAGACATTGCGAAATGGTCACGCTATGTCATGAATTGGCAGAAGTTAGAATTCAAAAACCATTGAATCTGGTCCCAGTGGCTCATTGGTCTACGAACTCACCTTGTAACCAGAAGGTCCTGGGTTTAAGTTCCGGTGGGTGCGTACTGATGAGGAGTCCCAAACTAGGGCGAAACAGCTGTCCAGTACTCTAACTGATGTCAGTTCATGATGAAATCCTCCATGCAATTGTTTATCTCACTTCTCAGTAATGACAGCGTTTTTGAATTTACGGTATATTTTAATTTATCAGTGTTAAGGTAAGCGAGGTTAGCATTCTAAATTTCCATATTGCTAACGATTGCCTGTAGTTTTTAATATTGTTTGTGTTGGTTTAAATCTTGTATAACTATACATTAATAACAATAACAATGCTAACAACTTTAAAACTGCTAACTATCCTAATTGCACTGGTATTTATCCTTCAGTGGTAATTAATTCTACACTTAAGGTTGACTTAATTCTTTTTGTAGGAGGGGGGGTGTATTGAGAGAAGGCTAACCAAATACCATTTCGTTTTTTTTGCACATTATATACTTTCAAATAGATTTAGCAGAATATTTCGTTGAACTTATCAGAAAATAGTTTGTCTTTAAGTTTCTAACAGGTGTGAATTTCAAACATATATCAGTTTTAATTGATTCGGTATTGGTTATTTAAATTCTTAATCCGTAGATAGTCGTTGGTCTTTATATTTTCGTAAACTCCGTCTTTTACCAGTCTCTGCTAAATGGGAATATCATCGTGTTGATAGAAAAAAAAATGGGGTCTCACTTTTTATAAAGAATATAATAAACCTCTCTCTAGAATATAGGCGAATTAAATTCTGATAAATTTGTCTATTAATAACATCTATAGAATGATATCTGTCTTAATTTATTATCCACGCTAAGTAAAATACTAAATCGCGTTATCCTGGAGAGAATAAAAGATGCACTGGATACAGAAATCCGCCAGCTCCATCAGAACAACCTGTGGATTCAGGAAAGGAAAATCATGTACTGATCAAATTGCAACTTTACGCATCGTCATGACAGAACAAAGTATAGAATGGCAGTCAAACCTCCACGTCAACTTCATTGACTTCGCAAAGCCCTTCGATAGCGCAGCGTTGACTGAGAAGTAACTTAGAAACTACTTCAACACTACGGCATGCAGTGCCCAAGTCTTTATCAACCTCGTTCAACAGCTATATGACAATGCCACGTGTCAGGTGTCCCACAACGGGAAATTCAATGAGGCGTTCGAAGTGAATATAGAAGTAAGACAGGGCTGTCTATTAACACCGGTGATATTTTTAATTGTGGTGGACTGGATTATGCGAAGGACTTTTGGGAGCAAGGAGACAGAAATACGTTGGATCACTGATAATAAGACTCCAAAAGATCCGAAATTCTCTGATAATTCATGTCTAGTGTCACATAATCTCGAAGACTTGCAGGTAGGCGAAAACCAACAAACTGGGAGGCAGCGAAGACAGGACTCCATGTGAACACAGAGAAGACGGAGGTGATGAAGATAACCAATCACAATCAACTGGAGAGATTTAACAGAGATCACTTCCTTCACTTATCTAGGAAGCATCGTTTCAACTACAGTTGGAATGGATGAAGACGTAAAAGTCAGACAGAGAGGATCTGAAAGGCAAGATACGCCTTGATCAACCTAAAGCCAGTTTGAAAATCTCCTGCACTGACTTAGCATAAAGAACAAGATTCTGATCTGCAACACAAATGTGAAGTCAGTCAGTCGGTTCTTCTATACTGGTTGTCAGAAACTTGCACTGAGTGTCACGAACAGGACTTCCAACAAGATACAGACTTTTATCAATAGCTGTCCACTTCTCTGGCTCCATACTGAAGATTAAATGCCCAGAAAGAATAAGTTACCAGAAACTCTGCAGTGTAACAAACCAACTAGGAGCCGATCGGGCATACACTGATGAGACCGTGGAATGACATCGCGCGCGATGCAGGCCATCGCTCGAGTGGAATCCCACTGGGAAGCGATGAGTGGGTTGTTGGTGCGAGGGTGACACGGGGGAGATGGTGTGGCGAGGAGGAGATGAGAGATTGTGGACAATAGCTGACCCAGCTGAAGAGGACGGCAGACTATAAGGCAAAGTGGAGATGTGTTGTTAAAGCCCTATGTTCCACGCAGAACTCAAGGGAATAGTAATAATAATAGACCTTAATTCACGGATGATTACAAATATTTGAAGTGCATCACTTGATGGATGTTACTAATCTTGATCGTGTTCCTAAACTGTTGCCATTACTGTGTCAGATGTAAACATATATATATATATATATATATATATATATTAATTTGACCTAATTCACATGTTTCACCGTAAACTGTGTTTATATTCATAAGTTTATTACTGGTTCATCGTATGATTAACACAAGCTTATGTGAAACCCATGAACAAGGAAAACAAACAGCTAATCCTTACTATCCTAAATGTTTTTAACTATTTAAGTAATTTGTGTTTGTATATTTAGTTGGTTTTGGCTTTTGCTTATTTCGTTCACTTGTTGTTCCCATTTAGTGTAACCATTACTGCAATACAAATGAGAATGTCTTATAATCTACGTATAAGTTTTAACCCTACTTCGTTTATCTGAATGATCAGTGGTTTATTGCTAATAAAGCGGATGATTTTTATTTCCCTATGAGACAGTATAACATGATCGATGTGTATGCTAGTGGTTTTCATATTATATTTATCACTTTTATTCTGTTTTGACTTGATTTCACCAATCAATCAATCAATCATTTATTACATAATATTGAATTTGTCAGTGTATACTTTCTCTATTCTCTTGATTCACACTAGGTACAAGAAAAGAATCAAAAACTGCGTGAATTAGAATCAGATTTAATGCGACGTGTAGAACAAATGCGAGAACAATTGAAAGCTCAAGAATTAGAACAAGAAGCTGCTCGTCGTTCATTTGAATTAGAACGTCAAAATTGGGAAGAGAATTGGCGTGAATGGGATATTGGCGCAGATATTGGTGCTAATGGGCCAACATTAGGTCTCGGTGAAAGAGTTATGAATGAAGTGATTAAAGAACGTGCAAAAACTGAGAAAAAGAAAAAAGGACTTTTCTAGTTCTCTTTGGTTTTTGGGATTTTTTGTTGTTGTTGTTTTTCCCTGATTGTTTTTTTTTTGGTCAACCTGGTGAAGTAGGAGGGAGGAGATAGCGGCTCCACATTTATCCTTCAGTAAAGATTATACTGTTAACCAGTAAAATATAATTATAAAATTGTTTTAGTCTTACTGATATTCAGTGCATTTCCTCAGAATAATTTTTTATTTGATAAAAAAAGAGAAAGAAATCAGGTCATTCTGATAATCTACTTGCATTTAGGTCATCATTGCGTAATTTTCGGTGTTTCTTGACAGTGTTTCTGTCGTTTCTTTTGTTGTTTTGTTGTTTTTTGTTACCTAAGGTAATCTCACATGTATTCTTCTGTGTTTTCTTTTCTGTTATCCGAGTGAAGAAGAAGGATTATATGTGCTTGAGAATAATAACAGTAGTTATTATTAGTATTACTCTATGACACATTATTGTTATTCTAATTATGATACTTATTAATATCAACTCAGACCTGTGGGTTGCTTTTGTAATGACTGACTTCCTTCTCTCTATGACTCTGCGAAAGTGCTGATGGATTAGTAGTGCGATTGACGTGTCAAACTATGTGTCTGTTTGTGTGTGTGTGTGTAAGTGTTACAATCAATAACGGAACACTTGACTGTGTGTCCGTCAAATTATCTGTCTTTATTTTATCGCTTAATATTCTCTTTAGCGTTATAATTTTTACTATTTTTTTGTTGGCGGCTTATTTTGTTTTCTGGGAAATATTACCATTGATACTCTCGGTGCTATGTCTACCGCTGCTTCTACTGCTGCCTCTACCGCTGTTGCTGTTGCAATTTCTGCGAAAACTGTCTTTTATTTTAACAAATATAACTAACTTGACATCTATTATTATATTTATGTGTATGAATTTATGTGTTCGACTTTCTTTTCTCTCCTATCAATCGAAATTTTTATTGTTTTATTATTATTATTATTAATATTACTAATAATACTATTTATATTCATTCCTTTTTCAGGTATTTGCCAATATTCTGTGTTATATATATATATATATATATATATATATATATATATATATATATATAATCACTTACGTAATATAATTTAAATGCTTTGTGTATAACTGATATTTATTAAACTTGTGTATTGTATTAAAAAGCACTTATTTTTCATTTATGAATGTGTATGGAGGACGGTAGATGCCACCTCATCAATGATTAGAAAGTTTTAATCATTTTTTAAGCCTATAGTCAATCAAATAGTTGAGAGTTGAGCTGTCAAGGAATCGAGTCCCGCATGTTCATTTCCGGATACGTTGTGTCCAATGTATTATTATTATTGTTTCCTTTAATTCCTAGAGGAACATAGGGCTTCAGCCGTGCGTCTCCATTGCGTTCGGTTCTCTCCTGCAGTCTTCACCTGGCTCCAAGTCTGCCCATACATTTTCATCTCCTCTTCACATGACCTCCTCCAAGTCACCCACCCTTGCCTTGACGACCAACTCGCCGCTTCCCTTTCAGGTTCCACTCGAGCAATGGCTTGTCTAGTGATGTCACTTGATGGATTGTTTCCTCAGAGTATGATCAATCCACCTCCATTTCTTCCTGCTTATTTGTTGCACAGTCGATTCCTGGTTGGTTCGCTCCCAAAGATCTCTGTTGCTGATCTTTTCTGGCCAGCCATCTGATCTTGAGTATTGAGCGAAGACAACTGTTAATGAAAGTCTGTAGTTTGTTTGAGATGCTCTTTATGACGCACCAAGTCTCTGATCCATATAGTGAGTAACACTGACTTCACATTGTAGTTGAAAATCCGGATCTTATTTTTGATGCTGAGTGTTGTTGACCTCCACACAGACTTGAGAGTAATGAAAGCTTGTCTTGCTTTGATATCCTCGTCAGTTCCGTCGGCCTGTAGTTGAAACGATGCTTCCCAGGTAGGTAAATGAGGGAACACTCCCCTCCTAATATAATGTAGGCGAAAGGTATTAAATATAACGGAACGGGATTTGGATTCATTTAAATAAAATTATTACGACAGTGGAAAAAATACTGAGTTAACGAAATGGTTGAAAAAATGGGAGGAAGTATTTTAAGTTGCATTTGTGATAGATGGCTCTAATGGCATCAAATTACTAGCTGTCTTTATATATATTATATAAAAAACTGACTATTATTATTATATAAAAGAGGCAAAATCTGCAATGTTTTACCGTTGATTCCGATAAATTTGTATAGTGTTGTCGTAGCCGGGAAGCAATATCCACTAACTAAATGACCTCTTAAGGACATATTTAAATCATCATGAGTTTGACTGTTCTACTGTTCAGTGTCATATCCCATGAAATATTTTTTCCCATTAAGGTAATAGATTGATAAATTTTTCGAGAAATGAACCTTGTGAAATTTGGCTGGCGATCGATCAATATGAATGAGAGCATAGGGACTTCAAAACAGTCTGACGGACAGAATGAGTAATGAGCACAAATGGAGGTTGAAAATGACAGGTGCAAAGTTTTTGATTTGAATCAAATCTGTCTCTGTTCGGCAGTTGAACTATAGCCAAAAATATTTCCCTTCGTATGTTTCAGGTTTGTTTTGAGAAAGTATTGGACTAGAGGTTGTTCTAATGTTACATAGACCATAGTAGGTAACTGAGCAGATATTTTTCTTCAGTATTCGTTACTCAGTTGTGTTACATGTTAATTTTGTATAAGTTGGGTGCAATAAATAATGTATGTGGTTCTTTTGGTATAGATAGATTGGACTACATCTAGCAGTATAGCCTATTTTGTGAAAGATATTCTGACCATTTATACGATTTAACTTTTGCTCTGCTAATAATCTCTGTTTCAATTATATATAAGCTACAGCTTTTTACCAATTTCCACGTTTTGCCGAAGTTCAACAATAGCGTCCCAGGAGTACGAACGCCCCAATGACCTTGAACGTATGCTAGTCATTGGCTAGCAGCATCTGTTATTATCATAGCTGAAATACCAACGCTATTCACCAACTTAGGAGCAAATTTCACCCAGATCACGTTTTTAATTACTGTTTGAACAATGTGTTAATAGCTCGTTAGGGTTAAGGTAAGTATTGTTGTTAGGGTTAGGATCAGGGTTAGAATCACGGTTTGAATAAGGGTTATGATTAAGCTTATGGTTGCGATTAGGGATAGATTTATACTCGATGTAATTTATTTTAATGTTTTTTTATTATCCACGTTATCCTGGAAACCGTAATAATTCAACCGAGGGCTTTTTTGGAAGACTGCAAGCAGGATGAGAGGGAGATAAACAACTCACAAAAACAGTTTATCTGTAGTCATCTCGGTGAACACATGTACAGAAACCAGTCTAATTTAGCAACTGATAATCCTCGTTACAACTTGGACGTATTTTTAAGCCATTTCAGAGAAAGATACCCTGTTTTTAATGCTTTTTCAAGCATTTTCTTGTCAATATACATCATTTTTTGAGCAAACATTCCTCATTTTTATGATTGGTCAGCTGAAGGTCACTCGGGCGTTCGCACTTCTGGGACGCTATTGTTGAACTTTGCCCACGTTTTCTTCTAATGTATTTGGTGATGACTGGATTTACAGTTAGTCCTTATCTTTTGTTTACTTCACTATATTAAAACCTATACAAATGTCTGTTTGAGAAGTATTTGGTTACAGGATTTCATCACGAACTGACATAACTTAGAGAACCACTAGAAAACCTGGGTGTACCGGACAGTTGTGTCGTCTTAGCCTGGGGCTCTTCATGAGTGCGCACCCACCGAAACTCGAGCCCAGGACTTCTCAGTTAGAAGGTAACCTCGTAGACCATTCAGCCATTGGGACCAGATCCAATGGCCTATAAATTCCAACTTCTGCTAATTCACGATATAGCGCGACCACTAGCTAATGTCATCCGTGGCGAGTATTTTCCTCCTCACACCACAACCTGTTATACCCCGCTGGTCACGACTTCTCACTAGAACACAGGTAACTACATACCTGAATGGGGCCAGTCGCTTCTCATCCCGACCGAAAGCTGCTACCTTGACGTGGTGGTCGGGCTTGAACACCGCAATGACCCAACAAGCTATACTGGCTGAGACTTATGTCGCTCGAGGTCCTACCATGCCAGAAAGGTTGTTTGGATAGCGGTTAGACAAAAAGCAGTTACCCAACCCAATGCTATGACTCAAAGTAAATCACAAAATATCATGCCGGATCGGACGGGGCCGGGATTAACAACGACCGCGCTTCCTGCTGCCGTGTCACAGGGCAGAAGTGATAAATATGCTACCGACACTGACAGTTTTTTTTTTAAATAAACACTTCATTTCAAACTCTTCACTTTATTGACTACTTTATGGGTTGTCTGATTCCAACCCGTTCTTACTAACCCACTTCAAAATGTATCACTGTGAATCTGTACATGTATTTGTTTATCACTGCTATGATTTAACAATGACTGTTTTTGGAACTTTTTTGCATACATTAGAAAAATTGTTACTAAATACAATTTTGTGTGTATACAGTCATCCTTGTAAAATCATTAAATTTTATCTGCGAAGGGTAGTCTTTATTTCTTCCATTTTGGATCTGTGTACCAATAAAATCATTCTGTAGATCAATCCTTATTATTTAGGGAATGTCAACTCTCTTAAAAATTAGTCGAAAAATCTGATAAAACAGTGAATTGGTCGTTCGACGTGCATCCTGTTAAAAAGGGTCAAAGAACACTATCCAGCGTGGTTGCAGGGAGGAAGTAGTGGCCGTATAAGGAGTGCAATAATCGAAAATCTCGTCACCACTGGTCATTCCATCTCAACAAACCCCTCCTGCTTCAAAGTAATCTACAAATTGAAGACCAACCTGCCAAAGACAATACGTTTTTGTCTTCTTTGCATTGCAGAAGCCCTAGCGATTCACTTAGAAGAACCAGAACTATGTGGTGATAGCTGGCTGCTAGCCAGATTGGTAGACAGTAATTTACGTCAATGTTTATGTCCCAAATATTAGTCATGTTAAAACAAGAACAAAAACTGATAGCAGACTGTGCTTAAGCGGATACAATTAGTAGATAGATGATCTGACATTCAAGAGACAGCCACAAAGAGATGAAACATTAACTTTTAGTGAGAAACAACCAATCAGAAGGCTGTGTTTGTCTACTAACAATAATCTATAATAATGTACACGAAAATCTATAAATATGTGTTGATTTCCACAATAAACAATCTGTTGCCTGACTCTTGGCTTCTGTCGTTACAACTATACATTCAGCCACTTCTACTATCATGGTAACAACTCTGTTGATTTGACTCAACTTTTGCTTGTATGTTTATTTTTGTAACTAATTAAATAAAACTCTTACGTAATTCCGTATGTTATTTTGTTTCCATGTACACCCTGAGTACAACTCTTACTTCAAACTATTCATATTATTACTTAACTCTTTTTTAACAATCGTTTGTGACAACTCATCACTTTTGTTACTACCCTCTTATATTAACAACATCCAATTCATCTGAACGCCTTTTGTATTACGTAACTCCACCAAAAACTTACTAATTGTATTTTCATTTGACAAATTTAATGTACACACACATACAAAACAACCATATATATTTGCTATTGTAGAGCTGTGAAAATGAATTCGCCGGTAGGAGACTTCGATGAACTACTGGTCTTCTGTCTATTAGTGAATAATTAGTCAGTTTTTAGCTTTTTGCTTGAATTCTATGGAAAGTGAATATAAAGACTATAAATCACATTCTCGAATCGGTTGCTAGTTGTAATCCTGGGGAAGGATAATCCAAAGAATAAACAATTTATTTCGAAATATGAAGACGCAGATAGCTCAGGTGGATGTCTACAACACTCACCACAAGGAATAAGGTCCGAAGTCGTAACACTAATATAAAGTCACTACTACTTCTGTATGGTTTAAACTTGGCGTGCACATCGTGAGAAGCATTTCCAACAGACTGCAGACTTTTATCAACTGCTGCCTTCGATCGATATCGAAAATCAGATTGCCGGTCAGGAAAGATGAGCAATA